GACAGTCATATTACAGTTTAATGATATCTAACAGTAACACACATTATTTAGCATAAAAGTATTATACTAAATATAGGAAGAGTCAATTCTAATTTTAGATCACTTATAATTTTAAAAAAACAATACAAATGAAAACAAGTAATATGCCATTTTTAACTTGTGTGATGTGGCAAAAATAAGCATGTTAAAAGGTTGAGTACCCTTTATCCAAAATACTTGGGACCAGAAATATTTCAGATTTAAATTTCCTATTATTTACACATACATAATGAGATATGGTAAGGATGGGACTCAAATCTAAACAGAAAAAAACATTTTTGATTCATATATATATATATTTTTTAAGGTAGTACAATTATTTGTATTGTAAAACTGATGTGTAGCTTGATCTTTAGGGGACAGGACCACCAATGAATACACGCAGATTTTGTGTGACATTCAGTTTTACTACATAGAAACAGAATGAATAAATGAACTTTTTTCTTTCTTCTTTTTTTTGCAAAGGGAAGTAAAAGATTCAATTTGATTCCTCTAGAATGGGGAAAAAGTAGTTGAAATTAAGTCTTCATTTTAAAGTTGTCATCTGTGTAAATTCTTCATAATTGACTTGTCTGTCTCCATCAGTATCTGCTTCTCTGATCATTTCATCTACTTCTTCATCTGTTAGTTTTTCTCCTAAGTTTGTCATGATGTAATGTAGTTCTGCTGCACTGATGTAACCATTTCCATCCTTGTCAAAGACCTGGAATGCCTCACGATTTCTTCTTCGTCATCTATATCTTTCATATTTCTAGTCATCATAGTTAAAAATTCTGGGAAGTCAGTGGTGCCATTACCATCAGCATCCACTTGGTTGATCATACCCTGCAGTTCAGCTTCTGTTGGGTTTTGACCCAGTGACCTTATGACAGTTTCTAATTCCTTTGTTGTGATGGTGCCGTCACCGTCTTTATCAAATAGAGAGAAGGCTTTCTTGAATTCAGCAATCTGTTCTTCAGTCAGCTGATCAGCCATGGTGTGAGCAAAGGGAAGAAGAGCAGAGTGAGCGAGGGTGGATGCCCCAGCGCAAGGGCTGTGATGGCGGGGGTGTCTCCACTTCAGCCTTGCTAAGGTGTGTGTGCTCTGTGCTGTGCGGCCACTGCCTGACTACAAGTGACAGCACTGTGCCCATGACACTCGTGGCACCATTGTCTGATTCATATACTTTATACGCATAATTGGAAGGTAATTTTGTGCAGTAGTTTTATTTATTTATTTTTTTTTGTCTTTTTGAGACAGGGTCTCACTATGCAGTTCGGGCCGGCCTTGAGCTCACTTTGTAGCCCAGGGTTATCTCAAACTCGCAACGATCCTCCTGCTTCAGCCTCCGGAGTGCTGGAGTTACAGGCATGCGCCACCACGCCTGGCTTGTGCAGTAGTTTTAGTGTGCCTACATTTTGAGTGTAATCCATCACATTGGGGTCAGATGTAGAATTTTCTACTTATGATGTCATGTTCGTACTCAAAAAGTTTCAGATTTTGGAGTGTTTAGGATTTTAGGTTGAGATTTGTTATGCTCAGTCTACATCCAGTGCTAGTGAGGGAAATAGGTTCTTTCACAGTCTGTTAGTGGAAGCACGTGTGTGGTGCCCATTTTGGAATGAATTTAGTATATCCATCAAAATGTTAAATGCTTACATTCTTGGATACAATGAATTTTACCTTTAGAAATCTGTCCTAAATAACAAGAGTTTTAAAATTTTGCATGTAAAGAGTGTGTGTGTGTGTGTGTGTGTGTGTGTGTGTGTTTTCTGGTATTGGGGAGTAAACCCAGGCCTTTTATACTGAGCTACATCCCCAGCTCTTCTATTTTTTAATTTTGAGGCAGTGTGTTGCTAAGTTGCCCAAGCTGGGCTCAAACTTGTTATCTCTCTGCCTTGGCCTTTGCAGTGCTGGGATTCTAGGTGCGCATCACCATGCCTGGTTATGTAAAGGACCTTTAAGTACTATTTATAATAGTAAAAAACAAAACAACCTAAGTGTCAATCAGTTGGGAACTAGTTGAATAAAATATGGTACATTTCAGGGCCTGCCGTGTCAGAATGAGAGGACGCATCTGAAGTAGGCTGGCGCTGCTGCTGCCATAGCCATGGCCTACCATAGCCTACCTACCCATAGATGGGCCATACCAGAGCCCATCTGCCATAATGTAAAAAAGCAGAGGGACTTTACATGATGGGCTTTCTGCTGCTGCTCACAGAGGGACTTAGAGACAATGCTACAGAAGCAGAAAAAGGCCAAGCAGAGGAAGGAACTCCAGTAGCTTTGTGGCTTTGTGTAGCTCCCTTGCCTTTGTCCTGTGTGCCTGGAGTTGTTACTGCCACATTCACATTTCCCCCTTGTATTGCTCACAGCTTGCAGCATTGATGGCATTCCCTTTGCCCTGAGTTTGCAGGCGGGCTCTTTGGTGCTTCCTGACCCTCAGGTAGCCCTTTCCCCCCAGGCCACTCCTGGAGAAGAGGGGATTACCCCTTCCTGGTGGTATTTTTTTCATATGGGGTATGCTCCAAGTATCAAAATGTAGCTTTGTAAATATATATATATTTATATATATATATGTAGCTTTGTAAAAATATATATGTATTTCATTTATGCAACAGATATTTCTAACTTACTTTACTTATTTTAATTGGAAAATTAAACAGAAAAACCCAAAAGTAAAAATAATCTAAATCCTAACACTTAAAATTTTTAAAAATACATGTATCTGTGACATATACTTAATGACAAAAAGTAAGTTGCAAGTCAAGACTCCATTTTTACTAAAGGTGTACCTGTTTTTTTTTTTTTTTTGGGGTAGCGGGAATTGAACTTAGAACCTTGGTCTTGCAGGGAGGTGCTCTGCCGCTGAGCTACATCCACAGCTCGATGTGCCTGTTTTTGATTGCAAGGATAAGTATATATACAAAGATAAGGAGAACATATAAGGAGATGTTTGCTCAGCTGTTAGCAAGTTACTCTTTAGGTGATAAAATTGAATTAGAAGGAGAGAAGAGAGGTTACAGGGATGGGCCACAGAGACACAGTAAGGGACTTTCAGTTTTGCGCTATATATTAAAACAGAAACACTAAATCTGCTGAAAGATAAAATAGGTAGAACTCTTGAAGACATAGTTGTAGGCAGAGAGCTCATAAAACCCTGACTGCATGGGAAATACTACAAAGATTCAACAACTGAGATCTCATCTTATTAAAAAGCTTTTGCACAGCAGAAGAAATCACCAACGGGATGAAAAGGCATCCCAGAGTGGGAAGAAATTTTAGCCAATTGTTCCTCAGACAAAGGACTAATATCTAGAACATATGAAGAATTGAAAAAATATCAGATCCCCCAAATTTAAAGAATCAAAAATGAGCATCTGAGATGAATACCACATGTCTCAGATGAAGAAGTAGAAACAGCAAATAAATATATGAAAAGTGTTCAACATCCCTGGTCATTCAAGAGATAAAAATTAAAATAACACTAAGGTTCCATCTCATGCCAGAAAGAATGACTATTGTCAAGAAATCAACCAATAACAAATGCTGGCAGGGATGTGGGGAAAAAAAGGAACCCTTCTTCTCTGTTGGTGAGAGTGTAGACTGGTGCAGTTACTGTGGAAATCAGTTTGGAGTCTTTCAAAAACTCGGACTAGAGATCCCATTTGACTCAGCTGGTCCCCTTCTTGGTATCTTCCCAGAAGAATTAAAACATCATACTACAACAGTATATGTGCAGCCATGTTTATAGCAGTACAATTTGTAATAGCTAAATCTTGGAAACAGCCCAAATGCCCATCAACTGATGGAAAAAAGATGTTTTTGTATACATTGGAGTACTATTCAACCATAAAGGAGGATAAATTTGAGACATTTACAGCAAAATGGATGGACCTTGAGACCATATTCTTAAGTGAAATAAATCGGACAAATGTGTAACTATCACACTGTGTTTCTGGTGTGAGAAACTGAATAACAAAAATGTATAATAGATATTGTGAAATAGGAAGACATTGTTCAGAAGGAAAGAGAAACTAGGGAAGGGAGGAGGAAAGAAAGGAACAAAAAATATGAAAGGGATAAAATGGAAATAAAGTTTTGTAAGTAAGGAGGGGAAGGGCTGGGGATTTAGCTCAGTGGCAAAGCGCCTGCCTGGTAAGTGCAAGGTCGTGAGTTTGATTCCTGGTACCAGAAGAAAAACAAAAAAACAAAACAAAATGAAACAAAAATAAGGAGCGGAAGACGGGTTGAAGGGAGAAGAGGGGAAAGGGAAAAAAAGAGGAATCAAGATATCATGTACAGGTACAAATTCCCTATGATAAGTGTTATCATTATGTGTACCTAAATGGTACTAATAAACTTAGAAATAATAAAAAGTTTTTAAAATTTTAAGTATTAGAGCTTAGATAATTTTTACTTGTGGGTTTTTCTGTCTAATTTTCCAATTATTATTATTATTATTATTATTATTATTATTTTGTCTTTTTGAGACAGGGTCTCGCTCTGCAGTTCAGGCTAGCCTTGAGCTCACTTTGTAGCCCAGGCTGGTCTGAAACTCACAACAATTCTCCTGCTTCAGCCTCCTGAGTGCTGGGGTGACAGGCATGAGCCACCGTAATTTTCCAGTTAAAATCAGTAAAATAATTTAGAAGTATTTGTTGCATGAATGAAGTGTATAAATCAATTTGTATTTGTTTTAAATTCATATTTTATCACACTTGTAAGCTCTTAAAAGTGAAGGCTAGGGAATGTGGTACTCCCTCTTACCAGCTCTATAAAATGGGGAAACTAAAAAATGGGGAAATATTTTACCAATGTGAGACTTTAAGAAGAGCAATCAGGATATGAATATTTGTGTCTTCTAGTAAAATGCTAGGTTTTTATCCATAGCTTGAGCTTTTTAATTCAGCAACTTGATGATACTGATTATAAGAAGGGACTTTAACTTTATAAATGTGTATTTTTTTTTTTCCTGATAGAAATGACATCAGATGTATCATCATTGGGTCCAGCCCTTGCCTCTGGAAATCCAGGGCCTGGGATTCAAGGTGGGGGTGCCATTGTCCAGAGGGCTATTAAGCGTCGACCAGGGTGAGTTTGAGTATTATGAATTTCTTTCTCCTATAAATGAACCTGATTTAGTTGCTGAACCCACTTGACTATTTTCGATCCTCTCACTTCAACTGTTACATACTATACTGATGCCATATAACTTCCACAATCCCTGGACTTTCTTCATATAAAATTTATGTCTTACAAGTTTCTTATAAGTGGGTGTGTATGTGTATGTGTTTGTGTGTTTAAAACAAAAATCTCAGCAAGGACTATGGCTAAGCCCAGAGATTTCACTGGGTAATCTATTGCTAAGAAACTTTGCTGCTTTCATTAAGCTTTGTATCTATATCCTCAAAACTTTGATAGGCTTCTTTTTTGAATTTAGAGAATGTTAAACTCTAGAATATTTCTTTTTTTGTTACTGTTTGTTTGATTTGGAGTACAGAGTCCATTCAGTTCCAAATATATTTATTAAATACTTAATTAGTATATGGCATTGTGCTGATTGCTGGTAGGATCCAAAGATAAATAAGACATATTCTTTGTCCCCAAGTTGATTAAATTTTAACAGGTATAATCATTACACACATAAATGTGATCCATGATGGAACAGGCAAATTTTTAAAAGGAACAAATACAGTGCTGTTCGGTATATGGGAAAAGCTCCAAAAAGGAGGTTTCTTTGGAAAGGCCTGGAAGAATGGCTACTATTTTTTTTTTTTTTTTTTTTGGTTTTTCTCTGGTACCGGGAACCGAACTCACGACCTTGCGCTTGCCAGGCAGGCGCTTTTGCCGCTGAGCTAAATCCCCAGCCCCAATGGCTACTATTTTATATATTTTTGCTATTAAACTTCTTTCTTTGTTAAAAAAATAATGTAGCTAATCTTAACTAGTCTTTGTTTTGTCCCATCAGTAATAATATGAGTCATCTTTGACTCAAGATGTAGCATGATTAGTAAGACCTGCTATGTGTCCAAGAGCTTTGTATATTTTAGTCCGTTACTAAGGCATAGGATGAATAAGTAACTTCTAAGATTCAAAGCTTAGTAGTGGCGGAATATATGAATCATAGGAGATTAGCATTAGAATCCACTCTCTTAAGCAGTGTGCTATGGTTATATGTACTAGCAAACAATTAAAAGCAATATAAATATCAAAGTTAGGAGATCATTTGAGAAAGTTATAGATTTAGCTGGATAGAGTTGTATCTGCTTGTAACTCCAGCTACTGCACTTGAGAGGCAGAGGTGGGAAGATAACATGTTTGAGGGTAGCCTGGGAAATATAGTGACACTCTGCCTTTATTTATTTATTTTTTAATTGTACTGTGAGTGTTGTATTTGTCATTTCTTTTTTTGTTGTTTTTGAATTTTTATTTTTATTAGTACAGTAAGTCCCCAACTTATGAATGAGTTCTGTTCCAGAATTGTGTGTGTGTAAGTCACATTTGTTCATAAGCCAACAGTGGCCTTATACAGTATACCTGTGAAAGAAAGTTCACAATTTGAATGTTCTTAAGTTGGGGGTTTAACTGTGCATGTTTGAAATACATAATGGTTATATTCATTGTGAGATCCTGTCACAATATGTATAATGTATACACTGCAAAAAGTCTAAAAGAACATTCATCAGATTTCTAGGTAATAGGTTTATGAGTGATTTATAATATTCTTTTAATTACTTTCCAGGCTTCCTGAAATGAGTATGTATAACTGATAATCAGAAAAATGCATTAAAAATTTTAAAAAAATACTTCTTTTAAAGAAATATTGGAGCCGGGTGTGGTGGCGCACGCCTGTAATCCCAACACTCAGGAGGCTGAGGCAGGAAGATCGTTGTGAGTTTGAGACCATCCTGGGCTACAAAATGAGCTCAAGGACAGCCTGAACTGCATGGCGAGACCCTGTCTCAAAAGGACAAAAAAAAAAAGAGATTGGAAAATAAGAGAGAGCAAGAACAAAAAGTGGCCAAAGCCAAATACTGTCAGATTTTTAGTGTATTTCCTTCATCTTTATACATAAATCTTTAAAAATAGTTATATAACAGTTATATGGCTTCATATAGTTTTATATAATAGCATTTTTTGCATTATTATGTGTCCTGTATAAACATAATTTTTAATGCTTGCATAAAAGGATGCACTTAATTCCTTTTTTTTGAGACAGGGCTCACTATGTAGGTCAGGTTTGCCTTGAACTTAGTATGGAGCCCATGTTGGCCTCGAACTTGTGGTGATCCTTCTGCTTCAGCCTCCCAAGTGCTGAAATTACAGACGTGTGCCACCACACCCAGCCTTTATTCTTATTTGGGGGTTTTTATTTTAAAAATTTTACTATTATTTGTAATGCTATAATGAAGTTTTTGTAAACTACCCCGCCCCATTTCAAGTTTGTTTTTCATGATAGATTCTTAGAAATGCAGATGTTGGGGAGATGAGTAGGACTTTGACAGGTGACCATGGACCAGGAATGAGTAAGAGGAGCAAATACTTTCTGAGTTGGTGCCATCTACTTCATATGCAGCTCATCTGGAGACCCCAAATACCAGGTTATTTTACTGGTAGAGAAGCCAAGAGTAATCACTGGGTTAAGACGGTAACATGAGCAACATTTTAGTTTAACAGAATGCAGAAATTAATAGGAGATTGCCCTATTTTATTACCTATAATCTGCCTTAATCCCCTCAGGTGAAAGTCACCTCTCCTTTCACTAAATGTCTACAGTATGTCAGTTGTGTTCCTTACATGGCATTTTCACTTGTTTTATATTTGTATTTCCATTTTCCCATTTTACTTGTTTTATATTTGTATTTATCTAGGCAAAAGAGGCCCTGGGGGTTGAGGTTTTGACTTTATACATATATTTTATTCAGAATGTAATATATATAAATGATAGTATATATTATATGTTTAGACTAAACTTACGTTTTATGTAATTCCTTTATATAATAATATCACTGTTTTGATAAGTGTTTCAGAAAGCCAGTAGCATGGCTTAGAGGAGACCACAGAAGTAAAAAAATAGACTTAAGAGCTTGAGGTGTAGCTCACTGATAGCATGTACAACGGTTTGATGTTAAGCACCACTATCAAAAAAAAAACAAGTCCTAAATTAAATTATTCATATTAATTGTTTTTCCTGCCTGTTTTGAGTAGATTACTGTTCTTTCTGTAGAGGTTGTACTCTGAGGCAAACCTTTATAATGGGGGCTGCTACTCCAGGGAAGTGCTGAGTTAGCAGTAGGTACTCTTTTTCTATTTCCCAACTTTTTTGCCCAGTCCGGCATGATGAGGAAGATAATATCATTGTTTGACTACTACCTACTTTCTGTTTTCCTTCTCCTACTTAGGTGGTTGTACAGTAGGTATATTGAGAAATTTTAATATTCCTTAATATTCTGTATTATCGGTAGACTTAACAGTATTTTTTTTTGTTGGCTTTCCTCAGGCTGGATTTTGATGATGATGGAGAAGGGAACAGTAAATTTTTGAGGTAAGAGTTTGAAAAACATTAAGCTTATAATGTGAAATTTATGACCTGTGTACTTGTAATTTTTTGTTCCTGGGCCTAAGGAGAGTACTTTTTTAAACCACACATTTTCATGTTACATTATATCCCATAAAATTTTCAGGCATTGTTTTAATAATTTCAGAGGCAGGACCTCAGGGAAGAGAAAACAGAATTTACAAGACCCTCTGTATCAGTTATCTGTTGATGATAACTTAAAAAGAACAATGGTTTATTATTTCACAATTCTGTGGATTGACTACTTGATTTTTCTGCTGATCTTGCCTACACTTACTCATAAGACTGCATTCAGCCTGCTGATCAGCTGAGAGTTAGACTCAGCTGGGATGGCTGGTATCTGGCCTTTTGTCCTGAAAGAGGTGAGAGTAAGTTTCTTCAGATGGCAAATATAACCAGGGTGCAAAAGGCATGTCCAAGTGTGCTTAAGAAACCTCTGCTTCTGTGACATTTGCTAATGTCCCATTGGTCAAAACAAGTCTTATGTTTATGTCCTGAGTCAGTATTGGAGAGTATCAACGCAAGGAAGTTGATATTTGAAGATATGACATGTTAATATACTACTTTATCGTACCCTCTAATACCTATTGCTTTTCCTATAGGTAGCAGGAATTAGAATTTGTATTTGTGAGTAAGGAGTGTTTTGGAGCATTGAAAATAGACCTTTCAGTATATTGTTGAAGGGACTCTTCTAAAATGGGGAATATTCTTGCTAAATAGCAATTGCTTGACTTGTTTTGATGTTTAAAAAAAAGAGGAAAAGAAATAAGACTGAAAAAAAGATAACCATGACTGTAACCTTCCTTTTTTCTTTGTCATGTTGAATATATTACCCAGGTAATCTCTGTATTGCCAAGTGGCAAATACTTGGTAAGTAAGTAAGTAAGGCCTATTAAACAAAAATTAATTGGTTATATGGCTCCACAGTTTTCATTTATTTATCTTATTATTTTATTGATTATTTTTAACAGGAAAAGTATATAAAAATATTTTATTTCAAATATTGACACACCATAAAAGTATGTCTTCCTGTTTTACTTTGGGCTATCAGAACCCTCCCTGAAGTTATTATAATTTCTACTTTATTGAATATCCTTCCAGAAGATTTCAGATACATTCATATTTGCTTTGCTTTTTCTTTTTACATGAAAGATATCCTTATTTTTTTTAACAGTAGGAAGAATTTATTGAGAGAAATGCTCAGAAAGTGGGTTGCCCCAGGATGTCCATATTTTAAATTACTTGCCATTGTTTAGTTTTATAATGTTTAGTATAGTCAGTAATATCTTTATTTTTTTGTAGTAACATTTAAACTCAAAGTTCATATTTCTAGCTACTAAATAGATAATTGCCACATACTTTTGAAAACAGCAGCTGTGACTTGGCTTCTATAAAAAAGTAGTTGCAAATGAAAATAATGCTCTCAGAGGTCTCTTTAGACTTTAATGGGCCTCAAAAGATGTAAAGAGGGGGTGAGATTTCATTTTCTGGCAAAGGGTGGACTTCTTTAAGCAACTCTATTGGGAATTCATCCACTTCAGAATTACTATATCATAATAAGTGCTATTAGTAGAACTGTGTTGTGTATATGAATGGTACGGAGGTAACACCCAGACTGTTTATACCCATCAGTTAGATCTAACCTGAGTCATTGATTCCACAAAATCCAGTGATCACAAACTAAAGTCATGTGCTACATAGCATTTTGATCATCAATAGAGTACTATGAGATAGTGGTCCCATAAGATTATAATGGAGCTGGAAAATTCCTATCACCATGATGTTGTGGATGTTATAACATTGCAGCAGCAAGTATCACTCATATTATGCTGTCATTTAAAAATGTACTATGAACAGTTATATATAGTTTGTGAGACTTGATAATAAATGACTTTGTTACCTGTTTATGTATTTAATATACTTCTTACTATTTAGTATTATTTTGCAGTGCTGGAGCTTGAACCTAGAGCTTCTTGGGTGTTTGGCAAGCACTCTTCATTGAATTATATAGGCAATCCCTATTATTGTTAGTTTAGATTGTGACCCTTCTAAAAAAAAAACAAAACAAAAATTTACCATTAAACTGCAAATTTTGTGAAGGAGACTTAATATAACTTCCAAAACCACTTTCTGATGAAAGTTGGTAGAATATTCACTGTGTCCTGTGGCAAGGAGAAGACAATTCAGATCATCTAGCGAATAGTACTGTTTTGGGAATTAGGGCATCCTCTCTCAATACGTCCTCCATTATAGTTTCTGTAGTAGCAAACTGAGTTTATCTGCCAATTAAGTAGAATTGAAAACTATACTTTAAAAATTTCTGGCTTGGGGCTGGGGATTTGGCTCAGCGGCACAGCACCTGCCTGGCAAGCGCGAGGTTGTGAGTTTGATTCCCGGTACTGGAAGAAAACAAAAAAAACAACAAAAAAAGAACTTCTGGCTAGGCCTAGTGGCACACACCTGTAATCCCAGCACTTGGGAGGCTGAGGCAGGAGGGTGCTGCCTGAACTGAACTGGCTTGGCCTGAATTACATAGCAAGACCCTATCTTAAAAAAAAAAGGAAAGAAAAGAATAAAAACCTTCTGCACAAAGCCTGGTGTAATAGTGAGTACCTGGTAGTCCTAGCGCTGCAGGAAGCTGAGGCAGTAGGATCACAAGTTCTAGCCCAGCCTGGGCAACTTAGCAAGACCCTGCCTCAAGATAAAAAAATAAAAAAAGGGCTGTGTAGCACAGTGCAAAGGCTCTGGATTCAAGCCCCAGTGTGTGTGTGGGGAATCTATGGAATCGAGAGAAAACATGCAACTTATTTATCTTAGAAGGGATTAATATCAAAATATCCAAAGAACTCTCACAATTCAGGAGCAGCAACAACAACATAACCTGGTTAAAGAATACGCAAGGTACTTGAATAGATATTTAACCAAGGAAGAGACACAAAGGGCCAGCAAGCATGTGAAGGATGCTCACATCACTAATCATTAGAGAAACACAAAACTACAATGAAATAACATTTTTTACCCATTAAGAGGGCCACTATCCAAAAAAATAGAAAATAACAAGTATTGGCACAGATGTGGAGGGATTGGAACCCCTGTACATAAGTGGTGGTGATGTAAACTGGTGCAACCACAGTGGAAAAAAATACACTGGTGCCTCAGAAAATGAGCAGAATTACCATGGGCTTCCTCAGCCCACTTCTGGTAAATACCCAAAAGAATTGAAATCAGGATTTTATTTTATTTATTCTTTTTGAGATGGAGTCTTGCTGTGTTGCCTAGGTTGGCCTTAAATTCCTGGGCTTAAGGGATCCTTCTGCCTCAGTCCCTCAAGTAGCTGGAACTACAGGCATGTACCACCATGCCCAGTTTAAAACAGGATCTTGAGGAGTTGTTTACATCCATGTTCGTTGCCTTATTTTTTTACAGTAGCCAAGAGATGGAAACAACCCAGATAACGATGAATGATACAAATGAATGGATAAAGAAAATGCAGTGTATGCATACAACAGAATATTATTCAGCTTTTAAGGAAAGGAAATCCTGTAATGTGTTACAATATGAATGAACCTTGAGGAAAATTATACTAATCGAAATAAGCCTATCACAATTAGGCAAATACCGTATAATTTTATTTACCTGAGTTATCTTAATCAAACTCATAGATGCAGAAAGTAGAGTGGTGATTACCAGGGCCTGAGGAAGGAAAAGATGAGAAGATGCTGTCCAGTTAGTAGTGTCTATTTTATAAGATGAAAAAGTTCTAGTTATCTTTTGTACAGTGGTGTGAATGTGATTACACTACTAAAGTGAACACTTAAAAAGTTAAGCTTTTATGAGATGTATTTTTAACAATTTAAAAAAAATCCTATCTGTAACTTAAGTTTTTTTGTCTTTTGTTTTTGTTTTTAAGACAGGGTCTTGCTATGTAGTTAAGGCTGGTTTTTTTTTTTGCAGGAGGTTGTTCGTTTTTTTGAGACAGGGTCTTGCTGTAAAGTTCAGGCTGCCCCTGAACTCACTATGCAGCCTACACTGGCTTTGAATTTGTGACTGTCCTCCTGCCTCGGCCTCCCAGTGCTGGGATTACAGGTGTGCGCCACCATGCCCAGCTGAAGCTAGTCTTGAACTCACTGTGTAGCCCAGGCTGGCCTTGAACTCATGGTGATCTTTCTGGCTTAGCCTCCCAGGTGCTGGGATTCCAGGTGTGGTTACCACTCCTGGCTGCTGTCCCTAACTTTAGACTGGTGCTGAGAGGGCAGCTTACCATGTCTTGATGTGATCACTGACTTTTTTTTAAAATTTTTTTTTATTTTAAAAAGAATAGTAAAAAACAAAACAAAACAAAAGAACAATAGCAAAATACAAACAAAACAAACCAAGGACATTAAAAATGATACAGGGTTTCAAACCAAATGATAGGGATTAACAGTGGTTGTTTTTAAAATTTTTTAATTTTTTTTGTCTTTTTCAGACAGGGCCTCACTATGCAGTTCAGGCTTGCCTTGAGCTCACTTTGTAGCCCAGGCTGGTCTCTTCCTGCCTCAGCCTCCCGAGTGCTGAGATTACAACCTTATACCACCACCCCTGGCCCAACAGTGGTTGTTATATTACATGTTGTTGTCTTCAACCAAGTTGCTCAGATTACCAGACATAAGACTGAAGATTGATTAAACCATTAAAGAGAGTAAGAAAATAATAATTAAAAAAAAATTAGAGACAGTACAGTTTCAGTGGATAGGATGGTAGGAATTCACCAGTGGTTGTTATACTGCATATTATTGTCTTCATATAAGTTGTTCAGATTACCAGATATAAGCATGTAAAATTGGTCAAAATATATATAAAAAAATTTAAGCATTAACTGTTCCTTTCAATAAACCACCAGACATCAGCAGTACAGTTATCCCAGCTATCCTTCTGTATACATGTATATATGTATATATTGCCTTAGTACTTTCTTTCTTTTTCTT